AAAAAGTGGTAGAGTTTTACTTGGTGATGAAATGGGACTTGGTAAAACAATACAGGCATTGGCTATAGCCAAATACTACGATTCTGACTGGCCATTGCTTGTGATATGTCCAGCTGGTTTGTTACATGACTGGAGGGAAGCAATAGGTCTGTTCTTGGATGCTAGTAGTACGATAGTACGAGATAGTGTTGACTTTGGTGATAAAATAAGCATTATTAGCAATGTAATGGCCACAAAATATAGTGATATGATTACAGCTGACAATTATAAGGTGATTATTGTAGATGAGTGTCATGGTTTGAAATCAACCAAAACACAGCGAACTAAGGCACTGTTACCAATTCTACAGAAGTCAACTAGGCTAATTATGTGTTCAGGAACACCAGCGGTCAGTAGGCCTGTTGAATTGTATCCTATTATACAGGCACTTCATAAGGGACCTTTTACTAGTTACAATGAGTATGGAATGAGATACTGCAATGGAAGACTCGTGAATGGCAGATATGACTTCCAAGGCTGTTCTAATGCTGATGAATTGTCATATTTTATGGAGAAGGAATTTATGATTAGAAGAAGAAAAGAAGCTGTTCTAAGCAAGTTGCCTAAGAAAAACAGGAAAAAGATAGAATTGAGCTTAGAGAATGTGGAATTAACTGAAGGAATGGTTGACAACAAAACAGTGATAGGTAATGATGTTGCACTGGCCTATAGAAAGGCATGCGAAGTGAAAGTGGATCCAGTTTTAGCATATATTAATTCATTAGTGGAGAAAGAAACTAAATTCTTGGTATTTGCTCACCACAAAACGATGATTGATGCAATAGCAGAGAATATTAAGAGTATGAACATAAAATACATGAAAATAGATGGAAATGTACCAGTGGCAAAAAGAAAGATGTTAGTAGACGCATTTCAAAAGGATGACAGTTATAAAGTGGCCGTATTGAGTCTAACAGCTGCATCTACTGGATTAACATTGACAGCAGCATCATTGGTTGTATTTGCTGAATTATTCTGGAATCCAGGTGTATTGATGCAGGCAGAAGATAGAGCACATAGAATAGGACAAACTAAACCAGTAGAAGTGCTGTATTTAGTATGTGAAAAGACAATAGATGAGATAGTATGGCCTTATTTATTAAGGAAATTGAGTGTATTAGAAAAAATAGGTCTCAGCAAGAATGAATTGAAGCAAATAAAGGGACAAACTACAGGTCAGAAAGCAATAGATGAGTATTTCAATATGAAATGAATGTTGACAAATTATCACCAATAATGATTCATAAAAAGGACCTTGCAATTTTACGGTAATTTTTTTGTAGCAATATTTTCTAGGGTGGGGAAAAAAAGGGACCTTAGAAATTTTAAGGTAAAAATCCACCCTTTATATTTTGTAGGTTTTTACCCTTATGTTTAGCTACTACCAGAATGTGCTGGAACCTGTTATGAATGGGCCTGTTGCGGGTCTCGTGGAGTTCCTCAGAGTTAGAGGAGTGTTGAAGCGAGTGGTTGCATGTCCAACGTGTTCTGTTGACATGGTATGCAAGCCATACATCCGCAACAAAGATGGGATGGCATTTAGGTGCTACAACCATGATTGCAGTGGATACTCAAAGTATCACTCAATCCGTGCCGAGTCGTTCCTCAATGAGTTCAGTGCACCTCTGAGCAGTATCATTAAGGTGTGCTGTAAATGGTTTAATAACCACACTCAAGTGCAGATCATGACCGAGGTGAACCTTAACAGGAAGGTCGTTATGAAAATAATTGATCGTCTGCGCGCATTGTGCTGTTTAGATGTGGCGGAGAATCCTGTTAAGCTCGGCGGGGATGGTATTGTGGTCCAGATAGACGAAAGTCTGTTCAGGCACAAACAGAAGTACCATCGAGGTAGACAGCCAGGGCGTGAGATCTGGGTATTTGGACTGGCTGATGTGTCCTTTACACCAGCTAAAATCTCATTGCACGTGGTAGATGATCGTAAAGCCTCCACATTGCTGCCTATCATTGAGCGTGTATGCCTTCCAGGCACCATCATCAACAGTGATGAATGGAGGGCATACATGGGTATATCTGATAAGCTCAGATTCACTCACGAGACTGTTAATCACAGTGAGAGCTTTGTGAACCCAGTTACTGGCACCCACACTCAGAATATTGAGTCGACGTGGAATACGTGCAAGTACAACATCAAGATGCACAAAGGCATTCTTGGTGTTAAACTGGATGAACTGTTGTGTGAGTTCATGTGGAAGCACAATACTGGGAAAAGAATGGGCTTGATAGCATTATTTGAGCTTCTTAGGATCCAATAAACCACTCTAATTCATGTTTTTATTTTTACTAAGAAAAGTCCATGGGGAAAAAAAGGGACTTGATCCCATAAAAATGTAGTTAACTGAAGGATTAAATCAATCATTTACCAAATAAAGTATAATAAACTGTAATTGGCTTGATCCACCTTCAAAATTATACAACTGTATCTAATTAATATCGAACTTACACTATAACGTTTTGGTTCTTTGTTAATTGAATATAAACAGTATATCTTGTTAGAAATTATCTTTTCCGAATATATACTATATTCGATACGATATTTGTTCATATAAATATCGAAACATGAAATTGTTAAATTACACATTCTTTTATTTCAAATAAATTAAACTCTATGTTTTTTTATAAATATATTTGCATTTAGTATGCTATAATAATGTTGTTGATATACGTTCTCTGAACTACAACAGAATATAATTATATTTCATTGAGGAGAATATGTTGAAGCACAAAATATATTACAAAATACAACAGTAAACGAAAGAAACACAATATGGTAAAATAAAATACAAAATATTTTGTTTTATATTTAAAACAATGCTTCAATACAAAACCCTAACATTTTCTCGATATAATCTAAGCATTCGAAATAAAATATATAGCATTTTAAAAATGTGTAGGATATCTACAAAACGGAATTGTGATACAGTGTCAATAAAACACCACTGTATTATAAATGTCATCTGAAATAGATTCTTTAGTTAATAGTAGTTGTAAAATGAACATTTTAGATCGTGATAATTACCACCAATCAACTTTTTATAAAAGCATTTAAAATCTTATAAGCCCAGACGAATCAAAATATTAGTTGAATTGATTGAAAAATACCAAAATTTTTAGAATAAGATACTAGAATAGTAAGAATTACAAATAAAAATTTAGATAAACAAACTAAACAAAATTAAACTGAATTGCTTAAATCAAATTAATTAAACCGCTGAATAAAAACGATCTTGCTACTTAATATTAACCTTAAAAACCATGTTTTTGATATTTAATGACAACAAAGAGAAATCATGATATGTATAATACGTTGTGACTAATTTAGAGAATAAACTAGACACATATAGTTTAATAAATATCATGTATTCAGTAAACTATATGCATACAATTATTCTGACAGCATAATATAGTTATTGAATAGGATATATAAAAATATATAGTGAATTCAAAAATTCATATAAATTAACTTGTTGGAGATGATCAGATCATGTTTTTATAGTTTGAATACAATAAAATAGAATAGATCACTATACAATCAAAAAGCCTGCATTTTCACTAAAATGAGCGTCTTTGAATTGGGGTAAAGCAATATATTTCATTTTAATCCTTTAAAACAAAAATAGTAGTGCTAAACAAAATAATATTGTTGTAGGCTTTATTTTTATCTTTAACATTATGAATATAATTAAAGATGTAGCGAATGTTACTAGTAGTAACAAAATACACAATTGTTTACTCGAATAGATTTATTGAAAATAATCTCAAATGTTAGACTTTGTCTTAAATATTAAAATAACAATATTATTGATAACCCTGCATACTTAAAAATATGTTTTTACATAAAAGTTTACTCAAAAAAATTTTTATAGCAATGTTATAAAGACACTCTAAGTATTTTCATGTTATGAAAAATATGTTTATAATACATTTAGATGTTTTAATTTATGTTTGGCCTTTTACATTTATTGATAAAATCATTAGTTTTTACTGTATTTAGTATTTAAATCAACGAACCATATATCATTCCTATAATATTTAGTGAAATTGTGTATTAAATGTAAAATAAAAACACGATATTATATTGTTCATAAACAAAGTATTTTAATTAATATT